AATTTTAATGGTAGGTTTATTTGAACAGTGAAAGAGAGAATAACAACAAAATCCAGAAAAACGCATGTCAAAAATGTTATAAATTGATTTGCATTTTAGTGAGGGAAATAAGTATTTGACCCCCTCTCAATCAGAAAAATGTCTGGCTCCCAGGTGTCTTTTATACAGGTAACGAGCTGAGAATAGGAGCACACTCTTAAAGGGAGTGCTCCTAATCTCAGCTTGTTACCTGTGTAATAAAAGACTCCGTCAGGCACTGCTGGTCTCCGTTGGTCTTTTATTCAAGTTCTTTCTCCGCACCCCGCTGGTCTCCTGCGCGGACCAGCGTCGTCTCGCGCGCGCCCCGCATGTGCTTCCTCCTCAGCTCCTCCACTCGTCCTCACACCCCGCTGGTCCTGACAAGGGACCAGCGGCTCCTCTCGCGTTCCGCGCGCGCTCCTTTCACTACTCCGTTAGCACCTCCTCGCGCGCACCCCGCACGCGCTCTCCCGTCAGTCGCTCCGCTCCTCCCCGCTCCGCACACCGCTGGCCGACGGTGTGCCGAAGCCCCATCAGCCACGTGGCTGATGGCGCAGCGGCCACCCAACGTGGTCCCGCTTCTTCACTCCAACAACTCCCCCGATCTCTTCCGGGCTCCCCTCTATATCCTCTCTCCCACGTGACCCTGACTCCTCCCCTTCCGGATCGTCAGATCCGGCCTTCCCATACTGCCCTGCTGGCTCCACCTACATTCACCTCGCTTCCCATTGGAGCCGAGGTGAACGGCGGCCCCTCCCACACGCCCCCCATACCGGGCTTCACCCCCAATACCTCGGGCCGTGTGATTGGGCCAGAGCCCAGCAGCAACCCCATTTAGGCTCGCATAACACATGTAGTGACATAAGAAAGGAGGGGCTGCTGGGGGCTCTGGGTTCCCGGGCGGGTCCAGACACTTAAGCCTCTGGGCGCCAGGCGCTGGGTTCCCAGGGGGTCCAGACGCTTAAGCCTCTGGGCGCCAGGCGTTGGGTTCCCAGGCGCTTAAGCCTTTTGGCGCCGCCAACGGGGGGGGGGGGGCTGTGTGTGCTCTGTGGGATGTCTGGTGGCGCACACGGCCCCACCCCTCGTTGGACTAGGCATAATAAGGGGAGCTCCCTAGACGATCAGGGCCAGTTGTAACTCAAGACCCAAGACCCACGACCAGCCATCTGAAGACCCTGGGATGTTGTGAGAACGAGTGGTGGGACTCTGGAACTCCCGACTCGACGACCTTGTGAGGGCGAGTTCCAGAGCGTAGCCAGAGTAGAGTATCTAGGCTGTGTACCTAGGCTGTGTACCTAGGCTGTAACAGAGTATCAGGACTGTTGGAGTGTTGTGTTGTATATTTGGTTCTTTCGGTTAAGTCACTAAAGATAAAATAATAAATTAAATTAAATAATTTATTATTTTATCTTTAGACGTGACTTAACCGAAAGAACCAAATAATCATTTACTGCAGTCACGAAAGTTCTAAAATTAAGATTGTTGTGTTGTAATAAAGAAGTTACCTCTACAAGTGTCTCCGGAATCCGTTACATTTGGCGTCAGAAGTGGCAATGGAGACAAGAAGTGAGCCACGTACCTTCAGTCCTGATGGCGATGTTGAAGAGCAAGCGGCGACGGGGCAGCCAACTCGGGCCGACAACGACGCCGCACCGCCGGCTGAGCAGTCGTCCACCACACCTGCCGATCCTCCTCCAGCGTCGGGAGCAGCAATGGAGGACACGCTGCTTCGCCTCACCGAGCTGCTCCACGCCACCGTCTCCATCCTGGACGACATGCGTCGCTCACAGGCGGAGACAGGAGGGAGAGAGGCGGCGCAGCGGCCGCGCCATTCCGCTCGGCTCCCACACAAAGATGGCAGCCGTTCCCGCCGCAAATACATCCGGGTGTGTCGTCACTTCTGCCGGGGGAGCAATGACCGCTGGGAGCGACGTCACTTCCGGGCCCAGCGTGGGCCAACCCGACGACGCCACGTCATCAGCGCTGCGTCCCACACCGCCGGGTGACAGCTGTTTGCAACCTAGCAACGCCGCGTCATCAGCGCTGCGACCTTCACTGCCGGACGAAAGCTGGCTTCAACCTAGCATACCGCGTCATCAGCGCTGCGACCGGACAGTGAGGGCGCCATTCTTACTGTAACCGGCGCCGGGCCGGCACATCGACCGACACGCTGGTCGCCGCCTTTGCTGCTCTGGCCAAAGGTTGGAGGTCGGGAGACCAGGCCCCTGACATTTCGTACATTTACGTGCTACGGATTAATGATTTTTTTGTTGACATTCTCTTCGTTGTCGTCGGGGAGTCGTGACTGTTGTTGGGTAAACTGTGTGGAGCTTCGCTCGTGAGTGTTGTCAATGTGTGTGCGAAACTTTGCTTGGGATTGTTAACAATGTATGGTTTGTATTGAGCTTTGTTCGTGATTGTTAACGTATAGCTTGTGCTGTCATTGTTAACGATGTATAGACTGTATGGGGCATTTATCTTGAGATGATGACATGCTGCCAAGGATTTGGAATTGTCAGGCTGGCTCTCAAATATCTTGGGGTGCAGATCCTGACCAGGATGGGCCAGCGGGTGTTGCGTGTCTAACACGAGAGTTGTGGTCCCGTCATGCTATGGCTGACGGCTTGACCTGACAGCCCGGAGATAGAGACACTCCGTGGCATGTCTAGCCTAGTGGGCTGTGTGCTCACATGGCTCGGAGAGTGTGGTCCCGTCATGGAATCGCTGACGGCTTGACCTGACGGCCCGGAGGTTGAGACCCTCCGTGGTGCGTCTGGAGCAATAGGCTCGCCCTGACGGCCCGGAGATTGAAACACTCCGAGGCGCGTTGAAACAGTGGGCTGGAGATTCGTGGTGTTCAGGTGTAGTTGTCCCGTTACGTTGGGACTGCATCCCTCAGTTGTTAGGGTGCATGTTGTGCAGGGAGTGAACGATGGGTCGTCTCAGCTCGGTCGGTACAGCTATATGCTGCGATGCGAGTCTTGGAGAGAGATTGGGTCTCAGCTCGGTCGGTACAGCTATATGCTGCGATGCGAGTCTTGGAGAGAGATTGGGTCTCAGCTCGGTCGGTACAGCTATATGCTGCGATGCGAGTCTTGGAGAGAGATTGGGTCTCAGCTCGGTCGGTACAGCTATATGCTGCGATGCGAGTCTTGGAGAGAGACTGGGTTGAAGCCCCCCGATATGGCCGACGTGCGCGGTTTTAGGATGGAGACGCCACGTTGGAAAGGCGGGGGGTGCTAACGGTTGACATGTAATGTCGGTGGTGGTCCTCATTGAGGGCTGCTGGGACGCAAGCACGGGATGCCTTTTGGAGATGCGGTTCGCGCGTGCGGCCACCATTTCTGGGCAGGAGCAGGCAGATTTATTTTGTTTGTGTCATGTAAATTTTATATATATATTTAAAAATGTAGATACTGGAGCAGCCCTGAAGTGCGACTTCTTTGCCCAGTACATGGGTCGGCCCTGAAGTACGACTTCTCGACCTGGGACGTAGACAGACGTCCGGATAAGTGCGTGTAGAGGGGTGATAGACATGTTGGTCTTTGCCTTCTCTCCACCTGACGGATGGGAGGCTGGCAGGGTGGTGTGGAACCCTGCCATCCATGCGGTGGTTGTGCATCCAACGTGTCGGAATTTGTATATTTGTTGTTGTTAATTCCCCGTTTTCTATGCGGATCCCGAGGAGGGCTAGGTGTGCCGCGGGTCGTTTGTTCACGTGTCATTGCTTCACCTTTTTGTTGATTGATACTTGTATATAGTGTAGAGTTGTACAGGTTGGTTATGGTATTTATGGTTGCTTTCTTGTTCTCTTTTCTTTTCCTGTTGAGGCTCGCGTATTTTTTTTCTCTCGCTCCCTTTCGTTAATTTAAACTTTCTAATTATTGACAGCCGGGACGGCTGGAGGCTACATAGAGGAGGGTAATGTAGTGACATAAGAAAGGAGGGGCTGCTGGGGGCTCTGGGTTCCCGGGCGGGTCCAGACGCTTAAGCCTCTGGGCGCCAGGCGCTGGGTTCCCAGGGGATCCAGACGCTTAAGCCTCTGGGCGCCAGGCGTTGGGTTCCCAGGCGCTTAAGCCTTTTGGCGCCGCCAACGGGGGGGGGCTGTGTGTGCTCTGTGGGATGTCTGGTGGCGCACACGGCCCCACCCCTCGTTGGACTAGGCATAAAAAGGGGAGCTCCCTAGACAATCGGGGCCAGTTGTAACTCAAGACCCAAGACCCACGACCAGCCATCTGAAGACCCTGGGATGTTGTTAGAGCGAGTGGTGGAACTCTGGAACTCCCGACTCGACGACCTTGTGAGGGCGAGTTCCAGAGCGTAACCAGAGTAGAGTATCTAGGCTGTGTACCTAGGCTGTGTACCTAGGCTGTAACAGAGTATCAGGACTGTTGGAGTGTTGTGTTGTAATAAAGAAGTTACCTCTACAAGTGTCTCCGGAACCCGTTACACACATGTACTACCAAACTTTGCAGCCAAAGCTGGCTGCATGAGTCACTCCGATCCTACTCACCCCCCACCCTAACCTACACCCCCACCCTACCCATCCAACCGTCCCTCCCCCTACCTTTCCCTACCTACCCCACCCTCCCTCTCCTACCCCCCTACCCACCCACCCACCTGACCCACCCTCCCCTATTTCCCCGACCCACCCCCACCTTCCCCTACCCACTCCATACCCTCCCCTACCCACCCCCACCACCCTCCCCTACCCACCCCCTCCACCCTCCCCTCCCCACTCCCCACACTCACCGACCGAACCCCCACCACCGTCCCCTACCCACTCCCCACCCTCACCGACCCACCCCCACCACCTCCCTACCCACCCCCTTCACCCTCCCCACGCTATACGAACGCCCTGAGTGGTGATGCTGGTAGCAGGAAGGGTCACCAACTTAAAGGCGTGTCCAGCCAAACAAACCCAAAGCAGAGGAACGAGTTCATCCTGACGGACTGACCCTCTCTCTCACTCTGTCTTTCCGCTCAGTTGGACGTTTTCAACGGCGCGACCCCAGGCAGCGATGGAGAAGGCGGTGGCAGCCAACGTTGAGTTCGCCATCAACGTCTTCAAGACGCTGGGTGCACGGGAGGCTGGTGGCAATGTCTTCTTCTCCCCGCTCAGCATCTCCGCGGCACTATCCATGGTGCTGCTCGGCGCCAGGGGACAAACGTCTGAGCAAATGTCCAAGGTAACAACAAACAAACAACAGCAGCAAAAAAAAAATCGCTCACGAATTAATTATCTAAAACTTAAATGTGTCGTTTTAAAAGTACGGTTGATTTAAAGCAGATATTGATATGCAAAAGGAAAAAACTCAACATCAATTGGGGGTCACGAGACATCTGGACCACCTGTGCAGTTTATTTGTCGGCGTTTAATTCGCGAACCTTGAGTGCACAGCTGTGGACTGTCGAGTTGGTGCCACACTGGCGAGATGTTCTCGACGGGACACATTTCGAACGATTAAAATAGTACAGCACCATGCTGTGTGCTGTGACAGAAGGCACGTTGCCCAAAACGTCGTCTTGTTATCAATCAGGGCAGAGTATTTCCTGGTGTTATTTTGAGAAGTGATGCCACAATCGTTCAACGCAATTTCTCCCATTACTTTCTTAACGCGTATCCCAAGGGCGTCGCTGTCATTTCATGAAAACGACAACATTTGTTTCGACGAAACATCTAAGACACAAATAGGTAATTTTTTTTGTAACCCAGAACATGAATTTAAACGGTCTTTGTATTTTTTGCCAGTTCATGATGACGCGTGGTCATTCTGAGTAAACGCATGCAGACAAAGACCAGCGAGCCGATTGTGCTGCTCTGCCTTTCCGTAGGCCACCTTTGAGGCACTGCTGCTGATGGGTTGTGTCAACATTGCTTTATGATGCGTGCAACCGCACCCCACTCTATAGAACATGCACACTGCACTTTGCATAAGGGGCCGTCCACAAATGACGTCACGCACCTGGGGGGGGGGGTCAGACAATTGTGACGATGTATGAGTGGGGGGGTTTGAGAAATGTGACGTCACATCAAAATTCGCCACTTTAAATAAATATAGAATTGTTATAATAAAACTAATTGTTATTACAACACTCCTACAACATCAGCATGCAGCTGTAGGGGCTGCTGCCCCCCGATTCCTCTCTGTGAGACATAACTCTTGGCTGGCCCTTTGGCCACCTTGGTCATTCACACACCTTCCGCGTGCCTTCCCTCAAACATTGGTAAGAACTACCCGCACGCGACTGCTCAACCCCGTGCACATGCTAAAATAGCACGGCAACTGGGGGTCGGAGGTCAGTGGCGTTGCTCGCACACGCGCGGCCACCGTGGGCGGTTGATAGCGCTCGTTTAAATGGCCGTGGGACAGGTGTGAGCGGTGGGTGTGAGCCCTCACGCAGCACGGGCATCCAGAGCAACAGAACGGAGCGTGCACTCGCAGAAGCGCCGACCACCTATGTTACGAGCGCACACACACAGCACCACGCACTTTCCACACACTCACCGAGTCCACACGAGGCTGTGATCAGTTACTAACGATTTATTATCGGCGCGACTGAGAGCCACTCTCACCGAATCAGTCGGAATTGGCAAGGCAGGATTAAACTATCTCCTGATGGTCTGTACCTTAGTCTGTTAGGACTTAAACCCCTTTGGCGATTAAGCTAAATACCAACTCTCTCTCTTACGGTTCGACGCTCCGGTGTGCCCGTCCTCACAGCACTTCGACTCATCACACGGACGTTCGAATAGCTGGACTGAAGAGATGACCGCCCCGATAGCTGACTTGAGAAGCAAGAGACCTTTTACCCTTTTTACGGCCCCTTTTATTGTTACTTTCATCAAAGAAAAGCCGTCGCTGATCCGATGGCCTTCCCGGCCAATCAGATTGCTCGTCTGTCTTACAGCATTCGACGCTCTCAGTGCCGTCCACATCCCGGTTTCCATATCAAAGGGACTGCCGCTGGGCTGCTGCCTTGGCAGCCGTGCACAAGCACATTCGTCCTGCCAATCAGACGCTTACCCTGGTTTTCCACCGTTCGTGGCTCCGCCCCCCTACCTGCCTGCCGACCCGTGTGTGGGGTGTGTGTGTTAACCGCGGCGGCTGGGCAGCCCTGTCGTGACCATGCAATTTCAACCCAAGTCACAGCGCCGCGGTGCGAGTTAGCATCGGGGGAGATCGCCCAATTCCCTGGCCGCAGGTAACCGTGAAGATTATCCCTATAAGAGGGCTTCTGGGTGAAAACCTGTCGGCCAGGTGACCTCCCCTCGGAGCTCTATGTGGGGGGAAATGTGTGAGGGTGTGTTATGTCGGGGGTGGCGAGGGCGAAGCAGAGTCGGCCCCGTCGCTTGGTGGTGACGAGATCGTAGATGGGGCACCCGCAGAGCGGCTTCGCGGTGGCGGCATCACACAGCGCCACATTAAATACGCACTACAATGACAATAGTTTAAAGCGATTTGAAGCATGTTTTATTTTCAAAATGGAAATATGATTTTGGGAGGGGGGCAGAGCTTTGTGACGTCATATTTGAGGGGGGTCTGACTTTTTGTGATGCCGTGTGACGAGGGGGGGGGGGGGGGTCAAAAATCGTCCAAAATCGCGTGATGTCATTTATGGACGGCCCCCAAGGTCTTGCTAAATATTTCACGGCACTCTATTGTATGAAGATGAAACAAAATTGGGGGTTTCAGTCCATAACAGACGGGGTTTTTTTTGGTGTTCGTGTCGTTAAACCTGCCACCACCCGACACACAGCCAATTAGTGAGGCTGTTGGAGAGTAAAAACCACAACATTTACAATAAAAAAAAGATTTGGCCGGATAACCTGAGTGGATTCCTGTCTGGCTGGCTGCCGCGCTCACAAATGCTCGTGCGTGGTGTCGTCTCGTGTCACGCCCCACCCCACCCCGGACGAATATCCCACACAAATGTGCGGCTTACTCTATCATGCGAAATCATCATCATACTCTCACTATCACACTCATGCTTACCATACTCTATTAGAACAGAGGCGGGAGGTGAAGACAAGGAGATAGAGCGGAGAGGAAGAGACGGAGAGTGGTGGGGGAGAGAGTGAAAGGGCATGAAATGGAGAGGAAAGAAAGAGCAAAACGGAAAGAGGACAGCAATGGAACTTGACAAGCAGCGGGAGAGAGAGGGTTAGTGAGAGGCAAGATACATCGAGACGGAAAAGAGAGAGGTGGGAATAAGTAGAGCGAGTGTGAGAGGTGACAGGTGAGAGAGTAAACGGGGGAAGAGTTCGTGGGATGGAAGTGGGTGAGATACAGTGAAGCATGGAGAGGGGAGAGAGGAATTGATAAACGGATGGAAACAAAGATGAAGTGAGAAATCAAGATAAATCGCGAAATACAGGACAGAGAATGCAAGAGCAAAGCAGGAGAGAGACAGGGGTCCGATATCAGAATTACAGTTTTGTGGACTGGCTAGCTGGCTTGGAGTGATGGAGGGTCACGTCCAAAGGTTGCCTGTTAAAGAAAACGAGTACACGGCATGTATATTGCAGATCCACATTTTAATACTCCAATAAAACAGTACATATCCTATTGTGTGAATTGCTACCACGATACTCATGAAGCTCACAGACTCCAAACCTCTGGACGCCTTCTCTTTAGCCAATCAGCTGCCAATGAATATCCGAATCCCATTCAGCAATTGCAACAGTGCTCCATTAACCAGCTACGCAATGAGAGTCTACTTCAGCAGTTTTTTGTGCTGTGGTTGTCCCACCTGATGACGACTGCTTGTGTTGCGATCGAAACGTCGTATCTATTATTTTTCTACCTACGTGACTTTACCGAATGAACCAAAGAGTATGCAATGATACTTGATCAATAATGGAAAGTGGCCGTGCCAGCGGTTATAGCTATCCAGTGTGCAGGCATTGCAACTGCACCAGAGCCCACGGGCTGGTGGGACCCAGGTGCTGGGCTGCAATGAGAGGGAAACCCGGTTTGGGCCCTGATTGCATTCCTTGCACAAGGGACGCAACGACCTAATTCGATAGGGGGGAGGCTACGCAAGTTATGACTGTGCGCCCCCCCCCCAACTCCTTTCTCACGACTCGCTTTTGCTGAAATAGCGGATGTTTTTTGAATCCGTATGCAATAATTTCGGCATTAACTCTTTATTGTTTTGGTTTTAGAGAAGAAAGACAGTCTCACAGTGACAGGTATTAATAAAACATATATATTTAAAGGTAACAATACTCACAATTAAGTAATGTGCGTCTTGTTTTCATGCCGGCCCACCGGTCTAGGATTTCCTCAATGGGGGTGGATCGCGCTGCTTCATGCTGCTGCTCTATTGATATGAAAGCCAGATGCGTTTATTGGGCTTGGTCCGTTGTAGACCGCAGGCAATTGTTCATGGATTTAAAAAAATAAATGTTTTCTTAACAATTCTTACTTGTTTAGTTCTTGATTCGAGGCCCCCTTCAAGAGTTGCGGCCCTCCCAGGGCCCATGCCAACCACACCACGCCACCGCTTGTGACACAGCCACATTTGATAATTGCCAAAACTCAACATTTACTGTTGTCTTGCAGTCACAATACGAACCAACAATTTACAGATGACCGTACACTTTACGCAGCGTGCTCATTTATAATAATGTAATGCGAGCGTAAATGGGGTTGTTGCTGGGCTCTGGCCCAATCACACGACCTGGGGTATTGGGGGGCGGAGCCTGGTCTACAGGGCAGTATGGGTAGGCCGGATCTGACGATCCGGAAGGGGAGGAGTCAGGGTCACGGGAGAGCACGTGTGGGGCGCGCGCGAAGAGGAGCTAACGGAGGAGCTAACGGAGGAGCGTGCGCGGCACGCGAGAGGAGACGCTGGTTGGAGCTAACGGAGGAGCGTGCGCGGCTCCGCGAGAGGAGACGCTGGTCCCTTGTCAGGACCAGCGGGGTGTGAGGACGAGTGGAGGAGCTGAGGAGGAAGCGCGTGCGGGGCGCGCGCGAGACGACGCTGGTCCGCGGAGGAGACCAGTGGGGTGCGTAGAAAGAACTTTAATAAAAGACCAACGGAGACCAGCAGTGCCTGACGGAGTCTTTTATTACAATAACAAGCCGAAATAGACATTTGGCTGCCTGACGACGGAGATACTTTACGATACTCTTCGGTTCTTTAGGTGAAGTCACGTATGTAAGATTAAAATAAAATAAATCGCGACGTTTCGAACGCAACACTAAGCGTTCGTCTTCAGGTGAAAATCGCGATAGCTGCGATGTCTGCTGCGAGCAGCACGATGTCAGCTCCCTTTGACGATAAATCGCAGTTGACCCGAATACAATTCTTGAGTGGAGTGACAAACCTGGACACATTCAACAACAACAGAAAGGTGCAGGCAATGATACTATAATGTATAATTTAAAGACCTTGAATCACAACAATTCACATCCAATCGCTTTTGGTTTGACTCATTACGTGCCTGCCCATCAGAATGCCCATCACAGCTGCACGCAGCCTCTGCACAGGCTGCTGTGAGGCATTGGGTGAAGTCCAAGCCGCAACAGCAAGGATTCTGGGTTACCGAGGATGTGTTGGATTCTCAAAGAAGGTGTGAATAATATTACGTTTGTGTTTTAGGTACTTTGCTATAAAGGAATGAGCGATGTTCACGAAGCTTTCAAGAGTCTGCTCGGCACTTTGAAAGCTCCCGGAGCGGGCTGCGTCCTTCGCATTGCCAACCGTCTCTACGGCGAGAAGACCTTCGGCTTCCTCAAGGTGATCAGAAAGAGGAATGTTTAACCTAATGTAGAAACATGTGATGTAGGTACATATGTTGCACTTCTTTCGCACTGTACGTAGCCAACTGTGATAATCGGAGTGTATGGGGGAAGGACAACAAACTAAGCATAAAGCAGTTCTAAAGAAATACGTTTTCACTCTAGATTTGAAACTTAAACATTTGGCATGTTGTTTTATTGCTGGAAAATGTATCTTGTAGTAAACGTGTTGCCATTGCTCTCTGCTTTAGGAGTTTCTAGAAAGCACTCAGAAGTTTTATGAGGCTGAGTTGGCTGCTGTAGACTTCACCGGAGCATCTGACGATGTACGGAAGGAAATCAATGCCTGGGTCGAAGGAAACACTGAAGGTGAATGATATATTTTCTCGTGTCTCAGACTAAAGTATTTGTTTTTTCACATGTTGAGACAATACGGTTGGTAGTAGCATGGTACATGGGGTCTCAACTTGCCTTTGCAGACCTCTGCAGATTATTCCTTTATACGTGGGTGGGGTTTTCTTCAGGTACAGTATAATAAAAACAAATTTAAGTGTATTTTATTTTTTCTCCCTTGGTGTAGGGACTTTGTAGGAGGAACGTTGATATTTATAAGGGGCACGGGGTGACCAATAAGGTCTGGATTGGTCTGTAATGAGGTAGGCACTGATAAGTGGTTGACATGTATGCAATATTCCATTTTTTCCCGCATATGATAAACCTCAAGGGAAGTGTCCAGATACCCCCATTGCAAAACTGCACTGATGAAAAATCTTGATACTGAATGAGTTTTTACGTATTTCTATTTAACTGAATGCGAAGTGTTTTTCTCTTCTAGGCAAAATAAAAGATATTTTGGGCCAGGGCACTGTGGACTCCATGACCCGACTCGTGATCGTGAATGCTGTTTACTTCAAAGGGAAGTGGGCCTCACAATTTAAGCTTCGAAATACCGCCCAGAGAACGTTTTACCTTAACAAGGTAACTGCAACCACGTTTGTCCGCACACATTGTGGGATAAATTGTGCATGATGGGAATGCGTGGGGAAAAGTCGCGGATAATGACAAACAATGGGAATAGGGCCTGAGGATAATCGGAAAATTCACAGACCCTACAGCTGACGCATATAATATGAGTCGCGGGTAAGGGGGGGGCCTTGGATAAGAGGAGTTCTGTATGCACAATGGGAATAACCAGTGATGTGTTTTATTTGTATTGCACAGTGAGAGACAAAGCCAGTGCAGATGATGTTCCAAGAGAATAAGTTTAAACATGGCTTTGTCAAGCACATGAATTTAAAAGTGCTTGAGCTTCCATATGTGGGAAATGAAATGAGCATGATTATACTGCTGCCAGCTACCATCGAAGATAAAACTACTGGTTTGGAAAAGGTATTTCATGTTACACATTTGCACATTCCAACATGTCAAATAGAATATCCACATGTTGAAGACATTTTTATTCCAGTGACCTCATTATGATGCTGATAGCATCAGTTCTCAAGGTATTGAATCCTTGAAAGCCTCCAATTGCATTTTATAAGAGTATACCAATGAACCTATATATTTATTGTATTAACTCACAACAATAACGTCTTGCCTGACATCACAGGTGGTTACATGTCCTTAATTGCAGTTTATTATTACTTTTTACTAGCACGGTTGGCTATGTACAATGCGAAAGAAGGTCAACATAACCACACAGTGCAGGCCCTTCTTCCACCAGTGGTAGGAGCAAGCAATGCTGCAGGGCTGCACATTCACATTCCAGTTCCTGCGTGAGCACAGGAGTTGTTGCCTTCTCGCTAATGCTTCACCTAAGCATTGTCTGCTCGGTCACTTGTGCTTTAATCGTGTCTTTCGTTGTTCTCGCAATGAACGGATCAGCTGGAGAGGGAGCTGAACCTTCTGAGCCTTGAGAAGTGGACATCGTCCATGACGATGCACTCTGGGGACGTTTTCCTGCATCTCCCACGCTTCCGCCTGGAGCAAAGCTACACCCTCAATGAGCCACTGTCGAGCCTCGGCATGGGAGACCTCTTCTCGCCGCTCACTGCCGACTTGTCGGGCATGGACGGAAAACGTGACCTGTTCGTTTCGCACGTGGCCCACCGCACTTTTGTTGAAGTGAATGAAGAAGGGACAGAGGCGGCTGCCGCCATAGATGAACACACGGTACTGTCTCTCATGTCCAATAATCGACCCTTTAAATTTTGCGCCGATCACCCATTTGTCTTCCTCATTCGTGACAACCGCAATGGAAGCGTTCTCTTTTTGGGTCGCTACACGACCCCTGATAGTCCATCGAGGCTCCGATCTTCGTTGAGAAATGGGTGCCGTCTGATTTGACTGCTGCTTTAAGGGAAAAATATACTCATATACCAGTGGGAAGACACTCCGTCAGAGTGGGGGGGAAATATACTGGGGATAATATACACTCGACTTGAAATGTGTTGTTGTGGCACTCTTGATTATTGTTGTTTTTAAGTATTGTTGGCAAAATTATTTTATTTTTGGCTGCTGGGTAGTGTTGGGAGGGCTGCGTAATTAAAGTCTCTCGAATCTTAAAACTTGCAGTGCGTGTGAGATTGCTCTGGACACACCCGCAGTTATATCCACCAGCCACTTTACAATTATTAATTCCAGTTGTGATACCTGGCACATTTAAATTGCAGTTACATCAAACAAAACAAGTTAATCTTTTTTGGAAGAATAAGTGTTCATAGTCTTGATTTTATTGACAAGACTTTGGCAATGATTTCAAGAGAACAGCAGCCATCAGATATTACCTCAGTTACCTTGGGAAATATTTGTTATCGTGAACCACGTAGTTTATGTTTAAAACTGTTCATCATATACTCCACTGGACGCTGGTCGTGTATAGAGAGACAAAAAATAGTTGGACTGAATTATACACCACAGGGCCCTGACCTAAAATAAAGAATGTTTCCAGGTGAACAGTCTTACATTGGTGTATGACATTACCCATGAGTATATGTTAAATAACAGACAAACCCTTAAAAATAAAAACAAATGTTATGCATGAATTTATTTGTATTTAAAGTAATCAAAAGTTGTTGACAGTGCATCATGGGTAACGTTATTACAGTTTGGTATCTGATTGAAGAGAGACCCATTGCCTGCTGAGTAACTCAATTATGGGCCTCATTGATTATTTGAATAGGTTAAAAGAGGTTCTCAAAGGTTGAATGAAAGGAGGTTGAGATATTTAGAAAAGACAACAAAGGTACACTTCGCCCAATGGAAAGGGACTTCACTCACATCTCCAGGGCACACAAGACACTCGAGATTATTTACTCATTTCCAGACCTTCATAAGCACACCTCACCACGATCTAACACGTGAAACTCTTTGATCACGCCCAGTGATGAATCCGGACGAGATCGAGAACCGCCTCTGGTCCCTGGACAGACGACTCCTGGAGGTAGATCCGTTCATCATGGGATTACAGGAGGATTTCTTTGAAAATAATACGGTCCCGACATAGCTTTCGTGACTGCAGGAATCCAAGTCATGTAGATAGAACATTCATAGATCACGACGTTTTGATCGTAACACAAGCAACCGTCATCAGGTGAGACAACCACAGCTGCGACAGCAGTTCTCATGCTGTGTTTGACGGTTGCTTGTGTTGCGATCAAAACGTCGTGATCTATTAATTTTATATCTACGTGACTTTACCGAAAGAACCAAAGAGTACGGATTGTAATTGTTGTGGATTTGCTCTCCAACACACCGGTATTGCTGTGCTAGTGTAATGCGAGCGTAAATGAGGTTGTTGCTGGGCTCTGGTCCAATCACACGGCCCGGGGTATTGGGGGGCGGAGCCTGGTCTGCGGGGCGTGTGGGAGGGGCCACCGTTCACCTCGGCTCCAATGGGAGACGAGGTGAATGGGGGCGGAGCCAGCGGGGTAGTATGGGAAGGCCGGATCTGACGGTCCGGAAGGGGAGGAGTCAGGGTCACGTGGGGGGAATGGATATAAGTGGGAGCCCGAAAACGATCGGGGCAGTCGGGGAAGTTAAGAGTCTGAGCCACGTTGGGTGGTGAGAGAGAGATCCGCGCCATCGGCCACGTGGCCGAAGGACCTCAGCACGCCTTCGGCCAGCGGTGTGCAGAGTGCGGGAGTAGAGGAGCTAACGGAGGAGCGTGCATGGCACGCGAGAGGGAGCATGCGCGGGGCGCGCGCGAGACGACACTGGTCCGTGGAGGAGACCAGCGGGGTGCGGAGAAGAACCTGAATAAAAGACAAGCGGAGACCAGCAGTGCCTGACGGAGTCTTTTATTACATATATAAGAGGCGACCTAAACGAGCATTGTCTTTTATTGACTTAAAGCTTTCGTGACTGCAGGAATTCATATTCTTTGGGTCTTTTGGTAAAGTCATGTAGATAGATTAAAAGAAAATAACAAAATGAATGATCGCTTGTGTTGTGATCGAAATGTCCTGATGACGATCACTTGTTGTGATCGAAACGTCGTCGTTTTTTTGTTGTTATTTTATATATTTATTTTTTACCTATCTGCGTGACTTTACCGAAAGACCCAAAGAATATGAGCATTGTTTTTCTTTCCACCCCTCCGAATCTGGCTCCCGTCTCATCTGCAGTGGTTCAGTTTCATTTATTAGGTATAACCCTGTGAGCCATGCGGCTCTTGACTCGTGTGCAACCGCAACAAAACAAAAACATGAACAAGAAACATCTTAAAGTGACTACACGCAACAGAAAAATCCAGGAAAAAACAGCAAAGTCTTCCTGAAAAAAACACCGTATTTCAACGCTGTGTGCAAAATCCCAGTGGGATGCAAGTCAAACAATAACCATAAAACAATGTAGATTAAAGTTATCAGGCTAACTCTGTACTACAACAAACAAACATGGCTAAACCAAAACGTTTTCAAAATCACCAAAATAAAGCTATAAAAACAATGTAACAGTGATCATAGGAACTGTGATTCAAATTTAACAATCTATATATATAAAATCGCGAATCTGTCTATCTGTGTGTGTGTGTGTGTGTTGCCGGACCATACGCACTTTCATTGGACGGCGGTTGCCCCTGGCAACGGCTAGCGACGCCTTCGCCGCTTTCATTGGACGGCGGTTGCCCCTGGCAACGGGTAGCGACGCCTTCGCCGCGGGCTGCAGTTTCATTGGACGGCGGTTGCCCCTGGCAACGGGTAGCCACGCCTTCGCCGCTTTCATTGGACGGCGGTTGCCCCTGCCAACGGGTAGCGACGCCTTCGGCGCGGGGTGGACGCCATTTTGAATTCCCCTTAAAAATAGGCGCACGCATTAACACGCGACTCTGACGTAAATTCATCACAGTTTCACGTCCTCTTCACTCCCCTCCCACCCCAATGTGTTCAATTACTATTATAGGCTCCGTAGATAATAAAATAATAGCGATTAGACAGTATTATTGTAGCGCGGGGGGGGGGGGAACGGCACCTTTACCCTGCCTCTGCCGGGTGGGCAATTTTGGCGAGGCCGGAGGCTCTGCACGCTACTAGGCCTCGACACCCACCACGCGACTCTGAGGTAAATTCATCAAAGTTTCACGTACTCTTCACTCCCCCCCCACCACAATATGTGCAATTAATATTACTTTTAAACCCAACGCGCCAACAATCTATTCTTTAAATGTTGACTGTACAAATAGTCATTCAGCTGGGTGACCGTACTGCCAGTCTATAATGTTGACTGTAGCCTGCTTATTAAATTGGGTGGGTGTACTGCCAGTCTATAATGTAGACTGTAGCCTGCTTATTAAGCTCCGTGAGCGTACTGCCACTCTATCATGTACACTCTAGCCTGCTTATGAAGCTGGGTGGGTGTACTGGCAGTCTATAATGTAGACTGTAGCCTGGTTATTATAATCGATTCTTTCAATGTTCTTTGTACAAATAGTCATTAAGCTGGTTGAGCGTACTGGCCGTCTATAATGTATACTGTAGCCTGCTTATTCAGCTGGGTGGGTGTACTGCCAGTCTATCATGTAGACTGTAGCCTGGTTATTAAGCAAAGTTAGTCAATTTGTAACACGTACGCTTTCGCAAACATTCTTCATAAACAACGTTATTGGGTTTAGATCGCCTTATTTATTAATGTGTTGTAACCCTTATCCACCACCCGACACGCCCAATCTGCTAAAAATTGTCACGTTTATAAAAGACTAAGACTTCACTGCTTTAGCCCACCGCTGTGTTCAAGCGTAAAACCACAACAATTACCATTTCTCATGAAAAAACAACTGTATAATTATGTTTAAACCCCACGCGCCAATAATGCATTCTTTCAATGTTCATTCTACAAATAGTCATTAAGCTGGCTGAGCGTACTGGCAGTCTATAATGTAGACTGTAGCCTGCTTATTCAGCTGGGTGGGTGTACTGGCAGTCTCTCATGTACACTGTAGCCTGCTTATTAAGTAAAGTTTGTCAATTTGTAACACGTGGCCTTTCGCGACCATTAATTATAAACAACGTTATTGGCTTTAGATCGCCTTATTTATTAATGTGTTGTAACCCTCCACCACCCAACATGGCCATTCACTAAAAAAGTGTCACGTTCAGCGGTGAGGGAGGGACAGCGGTGAGGGAGGGAGAGCGGTGAGGGAGGGAGAGCGGTGAGGGAGGGAGAGCGGTGAGGGAGGGAGAGCGGTGAGGGAGGGAGAGCGGTGAGGGAGGGAGAGCGGTGAGGGAGGGAGAGCGGTAAGGGAGGGAGAGCGGTGAGGGAGGGAGAGCGCTGAGGGAGGGAGAGCGGTGAGGGAGGGAGAGCGGTGAGGGAGGGAGAGCGGTGAGGGAGGGAGAGCGGTGAGGGAGGGAGAGCGGTGAGGGAGGGAGAGCGGTGAAGGGGGGAGACCGCTGAGGGAGGGAGAGCGGTGAGGGAGGGAGAGCGGTGAGGGAGGGAGAGCGGTGAGGGAGGGAGAGCGGTGAGGGAGGGAGAGCGGTGAGGGAGGGAGAGCGGTGAGGGAGGGAGAGGGGTGAGGGAGGGAGAGCGGTGAGGGAGGGAGAGCGGTGAGGGAGGGACTCAGCCTCAAAACGAGTCACTGGTGTGGCGTATTAACATCGCCACTGGGGAGACAAAGGCGGCCGGGCGTGGTGGATACAAGTCCCGGGCGAAGCCGGGTAGTACAGCTAGTAAACGATATACATAACATGTACGACCAAACTTTGCAGCCATAGCTGGCTGCATGAGTCACTCCTGTGACTCATGCAGAGTCACACTGCCCCCCTTAGCCTCGGTTACCCGACCCCTCCATCCTGCAAACTTATTTCAGGTGGTGTGTGAGGCGAGGGGGGGAGGACCCATCTGACTATTGAACTATTGTTTTTTTTATTTTACCAGGTAAGGCCCACTGAGCTATATAACGCTTAAAAAAAAGGCCTGGCCACAAATGATAGCTCTTCATCATCGTATGGAAACAGCAGCCAAATTCTCTCAACGTGTGATGTTAATTTCTAAATGTGGCGGGGCAAAAAACCGGAGGACCCGGAGAAAAATCCACGTGACCACAGGCTGAACATGCAAACTCCAAATATACAGCAGCAGGCGTCAGGTTCGAGATCGAACCCACGACCTCGTGTATACCGACGATGTAATTAACATCTCGCCACTGTGGCGCCCTGCAGTATTTCGACTCAATTGACGCTTTCCTGGATGTACAAGAGCAATGCCAACTCTCACTGACACAAACACCAATACACAAAACGGGGTGCAATGCAGTGGCGGCTCCTGCAAAATCTCTCAGGGGGGGCAAATGTCTGGATGATTGATAAGGATAAGGTCCACCCATGCAATGGATAAATTAACAGCTTAAGCATGTAAAGGCAACTTCACTTCTTTAATATTAATGAAAAATAAAGTGACTCTTACAATACATCTTGTTTGTTTCTATACTATTAAAACAAACCACTCAAGTTTCTTTTATTAAAGA